TTTAAGATTTTATTTATTTGACAGAAAGAGAGATAGCAAGAGCAGGAACACAAGCAAGGGGAGCAGGAGAGGGAGAAGCAGGCTTCCCGCTGAGCAGGGAGCCCGATGTGGGGCTTGATCCCAGGACCTTGGGATCATGACCTGAGCCGAAGGCAGACACTTAATGACTAAGCCACCCAGGCACCCCACTACAGAGTACTTCTTAAAATCAGGTACCATGGTTTCTTTTTCAAAATTATCATAGCTACTACACTCTTACCACATAGGTTTTAGTATCTGCTTGTGTATATCTAAAAAGATCCTGCTGGCATTTTGTTAAAAACTACATTAAATCTATAGATCAGTTTTAGGGAATTAGTATCTTTGCTCATTCTGCCTTTCCCTTTATGTAGGTCTTGTTTGTTTGAGATCCTTAGTGCTTTGTAGTCTGCATGCAGATCCTTCACATATTTTGTTAGATTTAATCCTAATTTGGGGGGAAGCTATTATAAATGAAATTTTTTTAAAGCAAGATTTTTTTTTTTTTTGCTGAGTAAATTTTATGTACCTGTATATATCTATATATATCACATTACTTTGTCCATTAAGGCATTGAGAGACCCTTAGATTGTTTCTGCATCTTGGATATTTTAAATAATGCTTCAAACAAAATGGGGATGCAAGTATCTTTTCAAGTTAGTGTTTTTGTTTTCTTCAGATAGTACACAGAAGTGGAATTGCTGGATTACGTGGTAGTTCTGTTTTTTATTTATTGAGAAAACCACATGTTGTTTTCCATAGTGGCTGCACCAATTTGCATTCCCACCAGCAGTGAACAAGTGTTCCCTTTTGTCCATGTTCTTGCCAACATGTTATTTTTATTTTTTTTATAAAAGCCATTCGGACAGGTGTGAAGTGGTAGCTCATTGTGGTTTTGATTTGCATTTTCCTGATGATTAATGATGTTGGAATCGTACTTTTTGGCCATCTAGAAGTCTTTGTATTTATTATTAAGACTGACATTGAGCTTACTGCTTCTAGGAGGTTTATAGTTTCAGATTCTGCTTTCAAGTCTAGTCTATTTTGAGTTAATTTTTGTGAATGGTGTAATATAGTTGTGCAGTTTTGTTCTTCTGCATGTTGCTGCCCTCTTTTCCAAAAACACTGATTTAACAGTCTGTATTTTCCGGGGATGCCTGGGTGGCTCAGTTGGTTAAGCGTCTGCCTTTGGCTTAGGTCATGATCCCAGGATCGAGCCCCATATTGGGTTCCCTACGCAGCCTCAGCAGCGAGTCTGCTTTTCCCTCTCCCTGTGCCTGCCACTCCCCCTGCTTGTACTCTCTCTCTTTGTGTCAAATAAATAAATAAAATCTTGAAAAAAAAAAAACAAAACAGTCTGTATTTCGCCCCCAATTGTATATTTCTGGCTCCTTGATCATAAGTTAATTGGCTCTTTATGAGAGGGTTAATTTCTGGGCTCTGTTGTGTTCCACTGACCTATATGTGCCTGTTTTTATGTCAATATCATACTATTTGATTACTGTACTTTTACAGTATTGTTTGAAAGTCAGGGAGTGTGATATTCCAGATTTGTTGGTTTTTCTGAAGGTTCCTTTGTATATTTGGGATCTTTTGTGGTTCTATACACATTGTGGGATTGCTTATTTCTGTGAAAAATACAATTGGAATTTTATGGGGATTCCGTTGAATTTGAAGATTGCTGTGGATAGTGTGCATATTTAACAATATTCTTCCAGCCCATGAACATTGAATATCTTTCCATTTATTTGTGTCTTCAGTTTATTTCATCAGTGTCTTACAGTTTCAAGTCTACAGTTCTTTTACCCTTCTTTTTTTTTTAAAGATTTATTTATTTGGGGGGGTGGGCTTGATCTCACAACTGTGAGATCATGACCTGAGCTGAAACCAAGAGTCAGATGCTCAACTGAGCCATCCAGGCTCCCTGGTCTTTCACCTTCTTAAATTTATTTCTAGGTATTGTATTCATTTTGGTGCAGTTGTAAATGGAATTGTTTTCTTAATTTTTCTGATGGTTCATTAACACTGTATAGAACTAACAGGGTTTTTTAATTTTGGTATATTGATTTTATATCCTGCAACTTTACTGGACTCTTTGTTTAGAGTCTTTAGGGTTTTCTGTATGTAATATTATGTCATCTGCAAATGGTGACAGTTTTACTTCTTCTTTTCCAATTTGGAGGCCTGTTATTTCTTTTTCTTGCTTAAGACTTTTTTTTTTTTAAAGATTTTATTTATTCATGAGCGGCGGCCAGGGGTGGGGGGCGGAGAGAGAGAAGCAGAGGGAGAAGCGGGCTCCCAAGGAGCAGGGAGCCCCATGTGGGACTCGATCCCAGGACCCTGGGATCATGACCTGAGCCAAAGGCAGACGCTTAACCATCTGAGCCACCCAGGCGCCCATGCATAAGACTTTCAATAATATGTTGAATAAAAGTGGCAAGAGTGAGCATTTTTTAAAAAATTTTATTTTATGTTATGTTAGTCATCATACATCATCAGTTTTTGATGTGGTGATCCACGATTCATTGTTTTCATATAACACCCAGTGCTCCATGCAGTACGTGCCCTCCTTAATACCCATCACCGGGCTAACCCATCCCCCCACCCCCCTCCCCTCTAGAACCCTCAGTTTGTTTCTCAGAGTCCATAGTCTCTCATGGTTCGTCTCTCCCTCCAATTTCCCTCCCTTCATTTTTCCCTTCCTTCTCCTAATGTCCTCTATGCTGTTTCTTATGTGAAACCATATAATTGGTTTATCATATGTGAAACCAAATGATAGTTGACTTCCTCTGCTTGACATATTTCACTTAGCATAATCTCCAGTCCCATGCATGTTGATGCAAACCTTAGGTATTCATCCTTTCTGATGGCTGAGTAATATTCCGTTGTATATATGGACCACATCTTCTTCATCCATTCATCTGTTGAAGGGCATCTCAGCTCTTTCCACAGTTTGGCTATTGCGGACATTCCTGCTATGAACATTGGGGTGCATATGGCCCTTCTTTTCACTACATCTGTGTCTTTGGGGTAAATACCAGTAGTGCAATTGCGGGGTCATAGGGTAGCTCTATTTTTAATTTTCTGAGGCACCTCCACACTGTTTTCCAAAGTGGCTGTACCAACTTGCATTCCCACCAACAGTGTGAGAGGGTTCCCCTTTCTCCACAACCTCTCTAGATTTGTTGTTTCTTGCCTTGTCCATTTTTGCCATTCTAACTGGTGTAAGGTGGTATCTCAGTGTGGTTTGGATTTGAATTTCCCTGATGGCTAATGTTGATGGACATTTTTTCATGTGTCTGTTACCCTGTGGTGGGGGATGGGCTCAGTGGAAACCGGTTTTTGGGGGCTTTTGTTCCCTGGTTGCTTTCCGTGTCTCTTCCGTGAGTCAGAGCAGAAGATACCGTTTCCAACCCTCTGCCTCAGAGCAGAGAGATCACATTCTGTTCTTCAGTGAGCTCTCCAGCCACAGTCTCTCCATTTCTTTCTGTGCTGCTATAAACTACAGGGTCCTGGGTTGTACACCCCTCCGCAGCGCTCTGAGTCCTGCCTCCAGGTCGGGGCATGTCTCTGCCCTTTGTGCTTCTAAAACCGCAGCCGCACCCAGTTTGCACGTGTGACCCCACCGCTCCTGGTTTCCGTCAGGGGGGCTGCCCTAAAGTCCTTTCCCCGCCGGCACAGGTCTGTGAGCCTGTGCCCGGTCCCCAGCGTGTGAGGCTGTCGCTCACTGGCGGTGTAGGATCCCCATGGCCAGGCTCCCTCCCGCTGCCATTTATCCTCCAAAATCTGCCCACAGAATCACGGCTCCCTGCTTGCTTGGTACCTCAAAACCTACTGCCTGCGATATTCCGTTTGTAGAGATCTGGATCTATTTTCTTACATCTCAGGACGATTTCTTGGGTGCTCAGAGTGGTCTGGTAGCTGTCCAGCTCAATTCCAGGGACCAGTTGGAATAGGGTCCCCTACTCCTCTGCCATCTTTTCTGTCTCTAGTACAGCTGGCCCTTGAACAAGGATTTGAACTGCAGAGGTCCCCTCTACATGGACTTTTTAAGAAATGATACTGTAGATGTATTTTAAAATTTTTTTTTAAATTTTATTTATAGACAGAGACACAGGGAGAGAGGGAACACAAGCAGGGGTAATGGGAGAGGGAGAAGCCGTGGGGCTTGATCCCAGAGCCTGAATCGAAGGCAGACGCTTAACGACTGAGCCACCCAGGCGCCCCTTGACTGTAAATTTCTAATGAAAAAGTTATTTTCCCTCATAACTAGTATTTTATTATTTTTTTAAAAGATTTTATTTGACAGGAGAGAGACATCGAGAGAGGGAACACAGCAGGGGGAGTGGGAGAGGGAGAAGCAGGCTTCCCGCCGAGCAGTGAGCCTGATGTGGGGCTCAGTCCCAGGACCCTGGGATCATGACCTGAGCCGAAGGCAGACAGTTAACAACTAAGCCACCCAGGTGCCCCTATTTTAAGATTTCTTAACATTTTCTTTTTTCTAGCTTACTTTATTATAAGAATGCAGTATGTAATACATGCAACATACAAAATATGTGTTGTTACTGTAAGGCTTCCATTTAAGAGTAGGCTATCAGTAATTCAGTTTTTGGTGAGTCAAGTTACATGTGGATTTTTGACCGCATAGGGACTTGGCACCCTTACCCCCAACGTTGTTCAACTGTACTTTAATGCTCAGTAGAAAAGTTAGGGGAAGACGTTAACAAGCTGTGGAAGATCCACATCCTTTAGCAAATGCAGATCTGGGTCACAGGAGAGGTGCCAGTGAGGATCAGAAGTTCACATAAGGTGTGTTGAGGGTGCCAGTCGCTGTCTTAGTCCCAGCCTGTCCTTTCCTCGGCACACACCTGTTCTGCTTTGTCAGCTGGCTCCGTCGGCTGATGAAGGGTGCTGGATAGAAACTGCATACTGAAGAAGAGGAGGGACTAACGGACTCCTTCCTGCCTTCTCATTTCCCACAGCTTCATTCTGGTGACGCTTCTTCATGCTGGCAGTGGCGGTTCTTCCCGAGAGTAGCAGCCAAACCCAGTTTGCAGTTTTTCCAGCACAGGCAGAACCAGGTACACTGTCAGCCCCAGCCATCACCCCACAGAACTCACTTCCTAGCCTAGAAATTCTATCACTGGTCAGGTGGCAGCCCTTCCATAAGAGTCTGGTTTAATAATTCAATGGTGGACATTGTTCCCTCAGCCTATGATGGAAATGTTTTGGAGATAGTCCTAACAGCTGTGCAACCTTGTGAATAAATTAAAAACCACTAAATTGTAAATGGTTAAAATGGTAGATTTTATCCCAGTTTTGACATTCGTTATACTGGGTAAAGAAACTGCAATTTTGGTAAGCAATAGTAAAGATGTCACGAGAGCATTTTTTAAAAATTGTGGCAAAATATACACATAACCTACAGTTGACCATTTTTAGTTCAGTGGCACTGAGTACATTCACACTTTTATGCAATCATCCTCACCATGTCCATTTGCAAAGCTGAAACTCTACCCATTAAACAGTAATTCCCCCTTACCCTTTCCTAGTTCTGGCATCCGCTATTCTACTTTCTGTCTGAATTTGACTAAAGTGGAACCACACTGTGTATGTCCTTTTGTGACTGGCTTACTTCACTTATCATGTCTTGAAAGTTCATCCATGTTGTGGTGTGAGTTAGAATTTCCTTCCTTCCCTAGGTTGAGGATTTCCTTGTATGTAAATGCCATATTTCCTTTATCCATTCAGTCAACAGCAAACACTCGGGTTGCTTCCACCTTTTGGCTATTATGAAGAATGCCAGTAAATGGGTGTACAAATATGTTTGTGTCTCTGTTTTTTTATTTTAGATGAAAAAGCTATGATAGGTTTTTGAAGGGAGTCTGTTAAAAATCAAATTTTTTTTGAAAATATACCTCTTTTTTGCATTAGCTTAATTAAGGATTAAGAATTTAGTTGATACCCACCCAAAAGAGAACCCAAAGATCAATGGTACTATTTGCTTTAAAGAAACACAAGACATAAAGGTATCCATTGCAAATTTATTATGCATTAGGAAGCTTAACTTAAAAACCAACAGCATAGTAAAAAGATATGTTATCTCTGTTCACAGCAGAACAGGTTTCAAAATATATTTTCTTTTAAATGTGTTCAGTCAGTACACAATCCTTTTATAAAAGTTGTATATATATTTTTCTTTCAACACCTTCATTACATTTATAAATACAAGATTTACACAGCACCCCATCAAAAAAAATTTAAAACTCCTTACAAATATCTACATATATTTCATACCTATAAAACTTTCAGAGGAGTGCTCTGTTCAAGGTGGGTGGGGCCTAGTTAATGGTCGATTTACTGGTGCAGGAAAATACATATAAATCTGTAAAATTTTCTGTCCATAGAACATCTCGAAAAATTAGCAAGACACTTATTGTGAAACTGAGCTTCCTAAACCACATTTTAGAAAAGAATCTGATGTGCATATTCCCATGAAATTCAAAAGTCAGATAAACAGATGGAAATAAAGACCCGACTGAAAACCGATGCATACAATAGAGCAGTTAAGGCAGGAGTGAGATGAACGAGAAAAATCGAGAAGACAGAAGATGCAGCAAGGAGCAGATGGTAATAATGTGTTCTAGGAGTCTGAACTTGGATATAAACTCCACTGGTATCCGGTCACTAATTAATTCTCATCCTCACTTAGGAATATTTGTATTATTGAAAACTTTCTTAGAAGCTCCCTTCAAATTCTCTGTTGCCACCAGAACACTTGATGTGCGTTTTTCTTCTGTAAAATTACCTGGGATCTGACCAAAACACCAGGGCCAGCGATCTGAGTTGCTAGTTCTTCATAATTTAAATTTTTAAGAAAATTTTCCTTTTATCTAATATAGGTTATCACTGATCATTATTAATGTCCAGAGGTGTATGTGCTGAATTTCATTCTAGCCAAGGACAGGAAGTAGAGACAAGGAAAGGAGAGTAAGATTTGGGTTTCTGTTGACCTTTGAACAAAGGCAATAGATCCCTGATACTGAGTCACTCTTGGAGCGGCCGCTCATGAACACCCCTGGGCTAAGCGGGCACAGATCAGAGAAACAGGAAGAAAATAAGCAGGGACTTTTTACCTCGGATCTTGCCAGAGATGGCAGTCCACTCCCACCCTGCACCTTCCACTGAAAAGGAGATGGAAAACTGCTATCACTCTTCCTCCAGAGTTATTCAAGGAAAGCCATCCTACCAGAGGTAAGAAATCTTTCTATTTGAGTTTCAAAGTTTGGACTCCAGATGACTTAGAGAGTTGCAAAATTTGCAGGAAACTACTTTGAATATTGTTCTAATATACCACAAAAAGAAGGAAAGGAACAGGAGCGGGGTGGGGGGGGCAGTGGAGGGATGGAGAGGGTCACTTCTCAAACCCGGCCCTGAAGGGTGCCACCAGCATCTCCCTTCCAGCACCATGGAGTCTCCGTGTGGTGTGGCTCCCACGGCTCTCAGAGAAGGCATCTGCAGAATCCCCCTTTCTGCCAAGTTCACAGCTCAGTGCACTGATTCCCAGACTCCTCAAAGGAAGAGAGCTCCCAGATGCTGCTGTCTTGCAACAGTGGCTCAATGTCCTCATCACTGGCCCGCTCTGGGGTGTTGGTCAGGCTGCCGCTGATGCTGTTGCTATGTTTTTGAAGTCCACTGCCTTTATGGTATTCAGGGATGAATAAGGCAACCAGGAAAGACATGAGAACTATACATGCCCCAAATAAAAACGGTGGGCCTGGGATGACAGCTCCCTGAGGGGCATGGGAAACAAACGGAGATAAAGGATTCGGTTAGTCTTCAAAATTAGCCCTGGACTCCCCCAAACCATCCAACAGTAAATCATTTTCTCATAAGCAAATGTTTCATTCAGTATCAAGGCCAATTCCCATAGAGCCTGTGTTTGGAATGTGACAGAGGGCAACTAATCATTGTTCTTTGCACCACTTTTCAACAGCCTTTAAGTGGCAGTTGTGGGTCTCCAGTCCCCATCCCGTGACCTCACATTATGTACTCTGTTCATGAACATCAAGAATTTTATACAGAAATTTACACTAAAGGAACGACTGAAGAAATGTAGTAGAAAACACTCTAGCTCAATTCCTAGCAGGGATCTAGGTCATTTCACATTTTATTTGGCCTTCGCTGGGCTTCACCAGAGGACAGGATTCCGATCAGATACTTGTGTAGGTAAAAATGGACTCTGAACAAAATTAAGACAGAGCTTTTTGCAGAAGATACTACATCACTGAACTGACCCTTCCTCAATCCCAGGAAGCAGTGAACAGAGCACATACAAGAGAAACATCAGATGAACAAGAACATTCTCCAAATTTAAGTTCAGATTTTGCTATCATCAGACATCAGACATATGGTTATAAAACTAGACTTATCACCAAATTACCTGCAGGGCGGCATTGTCAGAATTCAGTTCTGGTTCCAACTCAGTCAGTTCCACATGGAACATGTAGAATATGAAGCCATACAGTGCTGGCCCCAGGCCATTACACAGCCCTCTTATTCCAGTTATGATCCCCTGGGCGACTCCTACATGAGAATGGAGAGAAGGGAGCCCGTCTTCTCAGAAAAGCATCTCAAGATTAGGGACTTAACAGTATTTTCTTACAAACTGTGATACTCTGCTCAGCTGGACTGAGTATGAGTAGTCTGTGCTAAGGGAAGTAGATTAGGGACTTCGCCCATCATAGTTCCATTTGGTGCACAAATATATTACGGGTTTTACTATGCCCTGTTAATGTTGTCCTAACTCTCTCCCCTAAGATCTATAAGGAGATGAAATGACAGTGATGTTTGTGAAATTTCTTTTGGGGCTGAATTCCCCACGTAACAGTTAGATCCTTCCTATAAATGGGGAATAAAAAAATGAAAAAAACTCTAATAATTATTCTCCATTTATAGGCAATTTCCACTTTTCTATGGAATGAGATTTTCCTCCTCTACTCATCTAATGGTCCTTTTACAGGAAAAATCTGCCCTTTGTCTCCTGGAGCCCTTTATGTGAGTCCATAGCAGTCCCTAAGTTGTGTACTTGGGGCACATTCACACAGACTGCTCCTCATGGTGAGCTCCTCATGGTAACCTGCACTGAAAAATCCCAGAAGTGCCAACTTCTAATGTGGCAGATAAAATATTAGCTTGAATCATATGAAAATGCATGTTTCCACAGTCAAAATCGTTCAAATATGATCCAACTTAATGTGTTCCAGTAATGTTGTACACTGACATTTAGAAACATCTGTATTAGAACATACAACCATAACAGCCAAAGAGAATTCATGTCATGAAAGCCCAGATGGTGCCTGTCAGACGTCAAGGCAGTGCCCACAGCTGTCTCACTTCTTCAGATGGAACACCTCCCCAAGGACACACAGCCAAGGGATTTCCCACAGGGTGACACACAGAATCTGTGACACTTTAAAAATGGGTATGAATAAGATGGCTAATTTCTGATGTGGAAAAGTAGGTGCAATGAATTAATCTTTTCCAATCTAGTTTTTTATTAGAACTTTTAAAAAGGCTCTAATGAATTTAAAAGATTTTCCTTCTAAAATTCACTACTTCCTGACTACTTTAGGTGAGCCATTAACAGATGGAGAAGGAAAGGATTAATTCTGGCAGTGGGAACTGCCTGACAGAAGCCAGAGGTTCACGATGAGTCTAGATGGTAGAGTGCTATTCTCCACATGGTTGTCTCCATTTTAATTGTTTCCAAAGTACACATATTTACTTATTTATCCCCTCAAAAAATCATTTCCTAATTTAAGCTAACGGACTTTGATTCAAAATTAAATTTCAGTAATTATGGTGATTAAATAAAGAACTCATTGCTTTACTAACCAGTCTTTCCTTATTTGACATTACATCTGTTAAAGTGACTCTGGTGGTAACACACACGAGAAGACTCAAAACTGAAGAGAGAAAATGGATAGTTTTGTTTTTTGTTTTTATTTTGGATAGTTCTATTTCTAATCCTTAGTATTCTGAAAGTCCAGAAGCAGGAGGGAAAAGAGAAAGCTCTAAT